TCTCGCGTCCTTGTCGTAAAGATCGAGACCTGCTGTATCTACGAGATTGTTTATGTTGTACACGCCCCCTACAAAGGCCATCGGGAAATTCAACTTGCTAGCTGGTGGCGAGACCTTAGTGGTCTTGCCGAGAAGTGGCCTCCGACCATTTTGCTTGGGGACTGCAATGCCAACATCCCCAGCAACACCGTCTACTCCGAGATCTTGGAGAACATCGTAGTGGGCCATGAGCACCCTGCCTGTGCGCCCACGACCGCAGATGAAGCCGCCCGCGCCTGCCTGCAGTTTGCCACTGACACGGGCCTGTACATCGAGAACACCTTCAATCCGCACGAAGCAGGCCACACCTTTGTCGGTAAGGATGGGCCTCGTCGGTTGGACTATATTATGCTGTCACGTGATCATCATGGCCATACTTCGCGATTCTTTGTCGACTATGCTTTTGACTCCTACGCCGCCGCTGATGATCATTATCCCGTGGTGCTTGACCTGGCATGGAAGGTGATGAAACCTAAGCCCAATAGTCCTGGCACAAAGCTCGACCGCGAGAAGATGCAAGACCCCCAGTTGATAGCGAAGTACGTTGCGATCTTGGACGCTCTTGAGATCCCCCCTTGGCGCCTGGACGTGAACTTGCACCAGCAGCTCGCCGACTCCGTCGTTCTGAACGCAGCCAGAGCCTGCTTTGGCATGGATCGCGTCACTTCCATCAAGGGGTACGTCTCGGCCACCACGATGTACCTTGTTCGGCTTCGTAGGTACGTTGCGCGTGCGAGGCGATGGCTTCCTTGTCACAACGAACGGCGACCTCCTTGGGCTGATCTTCTGGCACATCGTGCCGATGGCATTTTATTTTTGACAGACGTCCCTTGGGAACCTCAGCTCCAACGCCTACGTCTGGCCATTGAGGCTATGTCTTGTCATGACCTTTCCACGACCGACTTCGTAGATGAGCTCTCCCTCTTCCTCAGCAACACCAAGCGTATAGTTCGCGATTGTGTTCGAGAAGATCGTCGTGTTTTCTTGGAACGGCTTGGACTTCAGATGCGACAGCATGCTGAAGCGGGAGACCACTTGTCCGAATGGCGCACGCTGAAGACCATTCTACGCTATGGCGGACGCAAGGGACGCAAGGAGCGCAACCTCATGCTGGTGGACTCCGCAGGCCACCCTGCCATGACTGACGAGGACGAAAGCCGCATCATCATTGAGCACTTCGCCACCACAGAGGATGCCGAGCTCATGACGAACACGGAGCTCGTTACCTACTACAACTCCAAGCTCAATCACAACCCCACCCAGGTCGAGCTGAAGCCAGATCTTGTCCCGAGCATTGGTCAGGTATCAGAGCTTTTTGCTACCCTCAAGCGTCGGAAAGCACCAGGTCGTGATGGTATACTTCCTGAGCTGCTCCTTGCTGCACCTAGGACGCTCGCACGCATCTACCACCCGATCTTGGTAAAGTGCGCCCTCCACCAGCAGGAGCCCTACGCGTGGAAGCACGGCATCGTACACCCTCTCCATAAAGGTGTGGGTCCTGACCACGATCTTGCCTTCTTTCGTTCGATCCTGCTCAACCCGATTATTTCCAAACTTTGGCATAAGTTCATCAGGAGGCAGTTGGCGACTTACCTCCATCACCTTCTTCACGATACTCAATGTGGTGGTCAAGTACGCCATGGCCCTGCTCAACTTATCCACTTGGTACATTCATATATAGCAGGGCTTCCTCGGCTTCGTGCGGACGGCATCATTGTGTTCCTCGATTTGGTCTCTGCCTTCTACTCCACGGTTCGGCATCAGGTCCTCCCTGCCTTGCATCTACATGACGATGAAGACTACGTTCAGCAACACCACGACTTTCCCATCGCCATGCTGCCGATGGTGACCTTTGTCCTCTCTCAGCCGGCAGCGATTGACAAGATCGAGCATGAACCACACCTGATTGCACTACTCATTGAAGCTCACCGTGCAACGCATTTCGGTACTCGTGAAGGTGATCTAGTTGCTCGCTCTCGGCGGGGAAGCCGCCCAGGTTCGGCGCTTGCTGATGCCATATTCAATCTTGGATTTGCCGCCCCTCTTGCACTGGCCCGCGACAAGATGCGCGCCCTGCGCCTCTCCACAGCGATTACGATGGCCGAGAACGAATTGATTTTCTCGCGTTCCGCTGAGCAGGTCGAGCTGGCGGACGCCTCCTTCGTCGATGATGCGATCTTCTTGGGCTGCAACCATTCCGACAGCTCCACCATCGACATCGCTGGTCAGCTGCTCGACGACATCCACCTCGTCATGGTCTCCCACGGCTTCCAAGTCAACTACAAGCGCTCCAAGACCAATGTCATGCTCATCCCGCATCGCCGAGACTCCGAACTTTTTCGACTGGTTAGCCAAGAAGGCGAGCTTCAACTTCAGACACCGTACTGGAATCTACAAGTGCATCTCACAGAGTCCTACAAGTACCTGGGTACGCCTATCGATGTCCAGGCTAAGAACTCGCATAAGATTAAGTTCGCTATCACAAAGCAAGCTCAGGCGTTTGGTCCTATTAAGCGTATGATCAAGAAGTTTCCTTCTACGACAGCGATAAGCCACACGTGTTTGACCGACTCGATGTGCAACATCCATTTGCTCTACTCGACTGAAGTGTGGAACAACCTTACTGCGAACGACTTCAAGATGCTGGATTCACCGCGTATTTCCTCCTATCGGGTACTACAGGCTCGCAAGCACCATGCTGGCAGCCTTCGTCATTTCTTCGATGAGGAAGTCCTTGTGAAAGCTATGCGCACTCCGTTGCATACGGTTGTTAGGCGTCGTCGCCTTATCTACTTCTGCACATTGTTTGCGAATGCTCCCAAGATCCTATTTGCCATGGTGGACTTCGTCGCGGGACTGCCTGGCTCTTGGACGTCCCTCTTGCAGCTCGACCTCCAATGGTTGGATGAATATGACAAGCAGACCGTGCCCACCACATTGTCTTCAGCCTTCCAGCACATTCAGAACGACCCGCACTCTTTTCGTCTTCGAGTAGGCCGTGCATGGCGAAGGTTTCGAGCCGCCGAACTTGACAGACTACGTCTAGTTGCACTACTTCGACATCTTCAGCGGGTGCTCGATAATTCCAAGACGGCGACAACGTCCACAGGATTCATATGTTACCAGTGTGGGGCTGTCCTCCTTACAAAAGCCAGTTGGAGGATTCATTTGCTACGTCACCAGCCGCTCGACCTTGCCCAGCGCTTTGCTTTCGACAACACGTGTCGTTGCTGTACGACTAGATTCAGCGATCGTGCCAATCTCATCAGACATTTGCGCCGCCCAGGTAACCGTTGTTTCTACTGGCTGTTGGAAGCTCTCGCTCCTCTTGATCAAGAATCCGCTGCGCAACTACATCAGGAAGACTTGGTTCATCAGCGCGCTCTTGAGCGTCAAGGTTACCATCGGACTCGCGTCAGGGTTCCTGCATGCCATGGCGGAGAAGGCCTCAGCCCATTCGAGTATATTCCGTTGGAGGCCCCCTCAGTGCTGGTAGATGTTGAGCCTCCCTTGGGACGGGTACTACGACGACATCTTTGGAAGCAGGGCGAGCCTGCCAAAGTAGTTTACATTACCACGGTCACGACAACTACCTTTGCATCTTGGGTGACTTCAGTGCTTTCTATTCCATGTCAGTGCATCACCGTTGATGGTTTCACGGATGCTGCCACAGAGGTCTTATACTTGGAAATGATGCAAGGAGGGGTATTCGCCCTCTTCATTGAGACTGATCTTCCAGAGTGGTCCCGTGACCTTGATCTTCTCGAGCAAGGCCAGCAACCTCGAAGAGATGATCAATGGCGACCGCACTGGACGGCAAAAAGGCAGCACCATCTTTATCTGGAAAACGAAATCCTCACACGTGCCCTGTATATGATCGCCACAGCTCGAGCCATGGGTGTTCCTGCTGCGTTGATAGGCGAGAAGCATGTACTCCATCGTGCACTATCCCCTCGCACCGACATTCGGACGCTGCTCGAGCCCATGGGTATCCAGTTCACTACCCTTGACCAGCACGACTACGACGGTGGCTCTTTCGACCACCTCCTCTTGATCAACACGCACCTGAACTTAGAGGCGCTGTCCCGTGTTCCACATGGTGCAGGTGTTCGTGCAGGACGGCTCCAGGTCCGCCCAGGCATTCATCGTCTTCTGATCGGTGCGCTTTATATGACCACTTCGTGGATTTCCCATCGGAGCCGTGTAGATATTTGAGTCTGTTCTTGAGGTGGTGTGGGTGGAGGAGGACTTTTTGGATGTTGGAGGAGGAGAAATCGTATTTGTCCCTCTCCTTGGCGGCCCCTCGGGTACGAAGGCCTTACTCGTGTTCTGCGCTACCACGGTGTAGTCGAACTATCGAGGGGCCGACCAAGGGGGGGGCTGTGTGGCCTCCTGCAGGGGACGGGGAGGGCACGGGAGGCGCAAGTGGTAAGGCGGGTGAAACAAACCGTCGAGCGCCACCCCAAGCCTCCCCGTCCCCCAAATTCGTGCTGAGCTGCTGCTCGTCGTCCTGGCGGCGTGCCACCAGGGGCGAGCTTCCCCTTCCCCCTCATCACTATCATTATCCTACTTACTTGCTGCTCTCCTTCTCTCGCGCGTTGCCCGTTCGAGCAGGAGGCCTTTGCTGGCCCTCGAGCCCCGTGCGGGCTCGACGGTTGGCGTGAGCGTCCTGCCTGAGACGCATGCTGGAGCTGGCGAAGAAGTTGTTCCTGTTTGTGGAGTCTACTTGTCCGTTGTGTGTACCTGCCAGCTCCAGGTTGCGCCTGCCTTGCCAGGAGGGTGTCCTCCTTACTGTGCTGCTTGTGCCTTGCTTGCCCTCGGGCGCTTGGCTAGGCTGCCTCCCGTGTGCGCGGGGAGGAGTCGCCTGGCCAGGCGCTCAATGACGCTGCAGGCGGAGGACCGCCTCGGAGCTCGGCAAAGAAAAGAGGGGGAGGGGGAGGGGGAGGGGGTACTCCCTGGGCCTGCCGTGGTACAGTTGCTGCGTGCACTCGCTGGGCCACCTGTGGTTTGGCACCCTCCCCTGCTTGCTGTGCCACCATCGCTTCGGCGCCGCCCCCCGTGCTTCCATGCGTCGGTGGCGCGCAAACATGGACTAGCGATCCACGGACTTGGTGCGCGGTCGCTAAATCCATGGATCGGGGGAGGTGCCCTCCCCAAAATGCGGCCGGCGACGCCTCGCTCGGCGGCGGAAATCCGCGATTTCCCATGGAAGCGGGAGCCGTCGCTAATCCACGCCCCCGCCATCCATGTGTGCGATCGCCTAAATGTGGTTGTCGTCACCTTCGGCAACTCCGACGGACGGCGGCTTCCAGGCTTGAGGCTGGCCCTTGCTGCCGCCGCTGCTGTCCTCCCTCCCTCCCTCCCCAGCGTCTGGTCATCAGTCTACCTGTCCCCTGTGATTGCTGCACCACACATGTCGGTGCGGCTGTCCCCAGAGCCCGATGACGAATAGTCACGCGTTGCCCCACATATTATAGCACGCTCCGCGCGCTGCACGCTCCATCCTCCATGTCTGGCCTCGATTTGACACTCCTCCGCACTCTGCACGCCTCTATACCGCAATGGAATACTTCTCCTGTTCTTCTGTGTCGTCTTCCTTCCCGACCCCTCCGCCTCCCCGTCCGCCTCCTTCTCCGCCCCCTCCTCCTCCTCGTCATCAGCATCATCATCACCACCATCATTATCGCCATCACACATCAACAACATCACCATCACCACCATCATAATGATTATGATCATGCTCATGGGCATGATGATCCTCCGCCTCCCCGTCCGTATCTTCATTCCTTTTTCCTCGTAAAGGGCGACCCCCTGTCGCACCTCCACACGTGTTGGTAGAGCGAGTCGGGCGCTTCGCTTGTGCTCCTGAAGCGTGAGATTTGCAACATATTCATGAATGGAGGCCGGTCCGTTTTCAAAATGCGCCAAGCGCATTCGGTTAAACATTTGCAACAGCGTCAAGGATGGAGTGCGGGTGGTTTTCAGAATGTGGCCCTCGCTTTCACATGCATTCGTCCTCAAAGTTCCCATTCGTCCTCAAAGTTCCCCCCCCCTCCTGCGGGTTTCAACCACCTCGTCTTTCCCCACGCTGGGGGTCTGGCAGGGAGCCCAGGCATGGCGCTTCCAAGCCCCACCCAAGAAAGATCGCCCAAAAGAGAAACCCCCGGGCATGAGGTGGGCATCACATTCCATCCGGAAGGGGGACGCACGACACCACGGGCGAACACCCCTTCCAGCACACAAGGCTATCGAAACCACAACGCGCTGCGGAGATGTCGGCCAAGACTTGTCAGAGCCGTCTGCTGTCATCGTTGTTGGTAAGGACAAGTGTGGTCTGAGCCCCAGCGACTGCACGAAGCCTCTGGGCCTTGGTGTGAAATACAGATGCCTTGTTCTCTCGACGAGGGACTTCACAACAAACCGAAGTTGAGATACAGAAGGGCCCGAACCATCATCACCGTTGCCAAAAGACGGACGCCTCGGGCACGGGATACTCTCGGGAAGGGTTGCGGTCAGGTCGGAAGCCGACCTGAACTTTGACCGTCTGCTCTTTTCTCTCAGGGTGGCGGCACGCCGTACACATGATCAACTCCCTGCAAGAGAGCATGACACAGTTGTGACCATAGAATGAAGACGCTCCACGCTGCACGCCCTTAAGACCGAGCACTTACCAGGAAGAGGCATACTGCCATCTCAAGGCCAACTGATCTGAAGACAACGAGCACAATGCGAAAAACCTTTAAACGCAAACCAGCGGTGAGATTTTGACAGGTTGACGGATGGAGGGCGGGTGGTTTTCAAAATGTTGCTCTCGCCTGAGCGCCACGCACTTTCGTCGTATCAGCTTGCAGCAATCTCAACGATGAAGGTCAGCTCTTTTTGAACATGTGGCTTTCGCCTCGGCGCCGCGAACATTCGTTTGGCAAGTTTGCAGCAGTTTCGAGGATTCGCACGGTCGAACACCAGGATATTAGGATCGCCAGGGCGGAATAGTCACGTTGATTCTCGGCGTTCAACTCTCAAGTGGTGTTCTGGCACGATGTAGGACCGCCAGGGCTCAGCAACCACGTTGATTCGCGACGCCGAAGTCAAAGGAATTGTGCTATGGCGCGGCTCAGAATGGTCTGGACGCAACAATCACGTTGATTCGACAGTTGTCTTCCAAAGGGGCGTTGCCGCTATGAAAACGTATTCTTGCAGGGCCCTGTGAAGAGGGACATCGGGAGGGCATATTGTAACATCGTCGATGCGTCTTGGGTACGAGCTGGTCCCCCTTCTACTTTCTTCGTCATTACCATCGTCATCAGCACCACCACTTTTACCGAAATCGTCATTGTTAGAAGTGGCACGCGTGCCCTGGTTCTTGCAATAGGTGGGGGCGAGAGACAGGATGATGAGGAGGAGGAGTATGAGGATCTTCTCGAGGAACTTCTCGGAGCCTCCCTGTGAAGCGCCTTAGGGCCATTTCGAAACCCCTTCGCGGAGGGCTCAGGGGGGAGCCCGTTTTCGATCTTCAGCCTCGACACATCTTCGGTGTCATGCTTGCGCAGATTGTCTCAGATCCTTGGCCCCGTCTTACTGTCCAACTGAATGCGCTCGTATTCGGGGTGGGGGGAGGAGCTTCAGGGCGTGGCACTTTTAGCTCTGCCATAGCGTGATGAATCTTTCTCTGTCCCGAACCTCCGCTGGGCGCCTCGTAGCCCACGTAAGCAGCACCTGATTTACAGCCAACGCCTCATGGCTGCATTCAGCGATTGGGCTCCCGAGTTCCAACGCGATTTCGTTCTCGGTGACAGATTTGCTTGATGTAGGTGGCGTCGTAGCCGCCAGCTTGGAAAGAAAACTCTGGCTGCTCGTTGAAAGCCTCCGTCGCAACTGCACTGCCTTCGCTCAGGTCAGCGCCGCTGGCTAGCTCGAGTAATTAAGCGAACGCTTCCCACTGGGCGTCCGTCCTCTTGAGGTGGCCACATATTGCATCGAATGTAATGCGGGACAAAAGTTGGTGCGATTCCCACACCGCATGGGCAGTCTTATCCTGGAGAACGCACGCGCGCGCCTCACTTCCTCAATCAAGCCCAGGATCGCGAGAATGTTGGACCAGGGCGGCGATCGGGGGTCGCCATGTTTTTTGTGTTCGATCGCCATGCAGAGGACCCACCTCGGCGGCAAACTTCTTTCAACCGAAAACTTTACTGCAAGCGATGTGTCTCCATTCGCTGCCATCTTCGTTCTCTCTTTGATGGCCATGGCTGCAAGTGCGGCTCTGGCGCCTGCAGGCTTGACTGCCCCGCCCCGCTCGACAAGGGCACCGAGGGCACCCGGCACTTCGTTGGGAGGGGGGCTAGACGCGCGCCAGCGTCTGCCTAGCCCCCAGCAAGAGATGGACGGGCTCGGTGTCGCCTCGCCTCCCCGTCTGCAGGGGCAACCCATGGCGTCGGCGACTACTCTGGCGGAGGCGTCTGCAAGTACCATTACCACCGAGGCGATCACCAGCGCCGTGGAGAACGTGATTGAGAAAAAGTGCAAGGGGAGGCTTGGCCCTGTTGCGCCATCGGTCAACATGATCAGTAAGAGGGTTAGAAAGATGGAGCACAAACAAAAATGAACACACAACATGGACGATATGTAGGCGCGCATGGACAAGTTCGAGCAGTCCGGCGGGTTTCACTACATCAACGGGAAGATCAATGAGAAAGGCAACACGATCAACCAATTTAGTCAGCACATCGACCAGATGAAGATATACTTCGATGGGGGGGCAGTGCTTCGCCATCTTTGCACAGCACCCCAGGAGCGGCGCAAACTGATGAGCGAATCACTACTGCAGTGGCCAGTTGCCCCGCCGACATGCAGGAGGAGGACCCTAAAGAGTGGGTGAATAATAAATCAAGGGGGCCTTGGGCACCTGAGCCTATGGATGTGTAGTCACAGGGTGACTTAAACGGCACTCTCTCCCTGAAATTCCGCTCTGAGCATGAGAAGGAGCAGGCGATCAAGACGGCCTGGGATAATACGTTGAAATTCAGCGATAAGAAAGTCACCATGTTTCCAGCTCGCCTCCGGACAAAAGAATCCCACAAACTTTTCTGTCTGCCATGAAACTTCTGTTCAATGGAATGGAGCTACGACTAGAAATGAGCGTGGGTTCACATCCCGACCAAAACCTTGTACGCCGGAGGCGGGATAGTCACTGGCACGAGAGTTGAGGGCACGGATCTTATGTTTGACTTCCAGGAGGGATGGGCTGATAATCTTCGTTGTGACGAGCTGGAGGAGATGGTGAACATGCGTACAGAGAGGCTGAAATTAATAATAACGCCGAAGAGAAGCAAGGGAAGTGGCGAAAGCCACGCGTGCTTGCCCCGGACCTTGAATAGGGACACCACCGATCGAGTCAAATTTCACCCCGTCCAGAGGAAGGGAAGCTGCGCGCGGTCTGCAAGAACGCCCGGCTCAACGGCCCACGCAAACTCGCAAAGCTGATGGCTGAAGTAATGGATTTGGATTGGGACGTCATGCTCTTGAGGGAGACTCTCACAGAAAATCAAACAATGGAGTTGGAGGGTGGAAATGGACATCGTTAGAATTTGCGTCGTGAGGGTTATTTTGCGTCAGGTATGGGTGCGATGATACATGTGCGTCTAGTTGGCAGTAATTCGCTCGACACATGTTGTTTCTGATGGAGTGCTTCGCGCTGACCTGCAGCTCACTCGACAGAAAATTTCGCTTTGTGCTGCTTATTTACCTCGCGCAGGATATCCGGTTGAAGCGCTGGACTAAACTTACAAGCAACTTCGCCATGCATGGACACCAGCAGCGCGCGATGGATATGCTATCGTGGCAGGGGGCGATTTCAATTCGCATTTGGGCTTTGGTCCGTGGTCAAAAATGGCTGAGATGGCGGCCGCTTTCAACCTGAAGGTCGCTAATGGCGATGAGCAGGGCCATGATGAACACAAGTGGACATTTAGAGCATCAACATCGGAGGATTTACGTCTCTTCTGTCTTCATAGTTGCACCCGTCGGCATGAAATCTGGTCAGATCACCGCGCTGTCGTGATGGAGCTCCTTGTTATGAGGACCCCGCGACGACGAACCAAAGGGCGCAGATCATCGATGCGAGGATGGACTCCTTGCGAAGACGACGCTGCTGTTCAGAAGGCTTCGGACGAGAAGCTCAGACATCATGCGCCGTCGTCGATGCTTGAAGCAGAAGCAATATTATTCGACACAGCGGCAGCTCATGGGGAGGGCGCGTGCAGCAAGCGACGACGGTTCAACGACCAGCCGTGGGAATCACCTCAGTTCCAAGATCTTCTTCGATAGAAGTGCCATTCACGCGATCTCAATCAGCGCAGAGAGCTGTCGAACACAATGCGAAAGCAGATCCGCAGGGAGCTCAGAAAACAGAAGAGTCAACGTTTCCAAACTATGCTGGGCTGGTTCATCGAGCATGATGAGAGGATTTGGGAACTAAGCAGGGCCGGATGATTTCGCCAACTACTTGGATGGGATGTTGAAGACTAGATGGACGTACTCCCCTGGATCCGCGTATGTGTACAGGGAGGTTAAAAAAACAAGGAATTCTGAAAGTAATAAATTGAAAATTCAAGGTTGCCCCGTAGAGATTGCAGCCCCGAAGCAAGGCAGACAACAAAATTAGGCATATAAAAAATAAGAAGCGGACCCGCGACGCGGCATGAAAACAAACAAGGAACACCCTGGAACAGCAGGAGGACGATCAGGGAAAAATCAGTCGAGAGATCTGGGGAGTGTCCAAAGGAAGACTTGACGCGGATGCAAAGCGATAAATCTGGAGGAATGTTCTGGGAATAAATGCGGAAATATCTGAGGGAGGAAGATCTGGCGGAAAATCTGGCGAAAAATCTGACGGAAAATCTAACGGAAAATCTGTCGGAAGATCCCGCGGAAAATCTGGAGGATGAATCCGGCGGAGGATCTGTCGGAAGATCTTGCGGAAGATCTTCAGGAAAATCTGGCGGACAATCTGGCGGAAGATCCGGCGGAAGATCTGGCGGAAAATCTCGCGGAAGATTTAGAAGATCAATCTGGAAGAAGATCTAGCGGAAGATCTGGCGGCTGATCTCGCGGAGGATCTGGAAGAAAATCTGGCGGAAGATCTGGCGGAAAATCTGGATGATAAAACTGGCGGAAGATCTGGAGGAATATTTGGCGGAAGATCTGGAGAAAGACGAGGCGTAGCAAGACGAGAAGGAACTTCCGCCAAATCTTCCGCCAATATTATCCTCCAAATCTTCCTCCCAATCTTCCGCCAAATCTTCCTCCAAATCTTCCACCAAAACTTCCGCTAGATCTTCTGCGACATCTTCCGCCAAATTAATATTCCAAATATTCCGCCAAATCTTCTGCTATCTTCCGCCAACTTTATCTTTCATATATTCCGCCAAATGTTCCGCCACATCTTCCGCCGAATCTTCCTCCAAATATTCCGCCAAATCTTCTGGCTAAGTTATCCTCAAAATCTCCCACGAAATCTTCCGGCAAATCTTCCGCCAAATCTTTCTCCAAATACCCCGTCAAATCTTCCGCCAAATCTTCCGCTCTATGTATCTTCCGCCTGATTGATCATCCAAATCTCCCGCGAGATCTTCCCGCAAATCTTCTACCAAATGTTCCGCCAATTCTTCCGCCAAATCTTCCGGCAAATCTTCCTCCCCAATATTCCGCCATATCTTCCTCCAAATATTCCGCCAATTTTATCTTCCAAATTTTCCGCCTGATCCTCCGCCAGATCTTCCGTCAAATCTTTCGTCAGGTGTTCCGCCAGATCTTCTGCCAGATCTTTCGCCAGATCTTTGCCCAGATCTTCCTCCCTAAGATTTGCCCGCAGATCTTCTCCCAATCATTTCTACAAATGTATCGCTTTTCAACCTCCGCCAGGGGGAGGAGGAGGAGGAGGAGGAAGAGGAGGAGGAGAAGGAGGAGAAGGAGGAGAAGGGAAAGGAGGAGGAAGAGGTGGGGGAAGATAGCCGTGACCATTTGTTAAACTAGGTGTTCGAATATCACTCGCGCGATGACGGCAGGGCATGAAACATCATAAGGAATTTAACCTATAATTTTAGAGTAGGCCCGCGAGACTGAAGCAGGGCATGCCCGTCTAGTTTGTTTGAACTCCCTGTATGTCGGATGGTTTTCTACGAAGATACGGCCCTTCACTATGTGGGAACTTCGACGTGCACTGAGATCGATGAAACATCGGATGGATTCGGATGAGTTTGGGATCGTAGCGGAAATGTTCAAAGCATCTTCAGATAAGTGTTTGAACCTCCTTCTTGGCCTGTTCAACAAGGTGCTGCGTGAGGGCGTGATTGACCAGGCCTGGAGAGAGAGAGAGAGAGAGAGAGAATATTGCCGATGCTAACAAAGACCTGAGCCTTCCGCAGAACTGAAGGCTGGTCGCAGTGTTCGAAATATCTTACAAACTCTTCGCACGTCTGCTGTATCAACGCCTTGGTGGTGTACTGCACGCCCAACCATCAGAAGACCAAGTCGGCTTTCGAAGGAAATGATCGGCTGACGATGCCTTCTTCGAGTTCGAATACGTGTGTGGCAGGTGTTCGGAATGGAATGCTCCTATGTGGTGTCTGAATCTGGATCTGAGCAAGGCCTTCGACCGAATTGAATTCCAACCTCTGCTTGAGTCGCATCAGGGACAAGGCGTGGGAGACGAGTACACTCCCATGCTGTCTGTCATCCATGCAAACCAACGTGGGCGAGTTCGCGGTTCCAGCCGCTTCGAGATTCAAAAAGGTGTAAAGCAAGGTCGCATTCTGAGCCCGCTGCTCTTCAATGCGGGGGTCGAAACAGCAATTCGCAAATGAAGACCCGGGCGTTTGGGAAAGGCATACGCGTTGATGCTGGGGACGCATTGACAAACATGAGATACTCGGACGACATCATGATTTGTGCTGCAACTCGCGTGGATCTTATCACGATGGCCACAACCCTGAAGGAGGAACTTGCGAATGTAGGTCTCAGCCTGAACGCCGGCAAGACCAAGGTGCTCACGACCATTTGCGATGTCATCGCGGATTCGTTGGGCATTGGAGGGGAGCCCGTGGGCGTCCTGAGCGGTGGCATGGCACATACATGTTTGTGAAGGAAGCTGTGTGGCAACTTACGTTCGAGGAGCTTTTTTGAAGCTGGCCATCGGGTTCAAGCAGCATGACATTTCACAAGCCTTGCGACATTCTTATGGACAAGCAAGTGAGCATGCACTCCCGGACAAAATTCTTCAGCACAGTGATCACTCCAACACTATTGTTTGAACTTCCGTCTTGTGCAGTGACGCGAGCGCAGATCAGCTCACTAGAAGTGGTTCAGCGGAGGATACTTCGAAAAATCGCTAATTGAACCGAACCTTGGGATGACCCAGTGCGAAGGATGAGGCTGAAAGTCGATGCCGCTTTCATATTATACTCAATGGAAGATTGGAGCGCCCAATTATTACGGCGGCATTACAGGCTGGCTCATCGAGTGGGCGCTATGGCGAAAGCTGGCCTGCAAGAGCATCGCGTTGGTACCCACTTGAAGCAGGTCCTGGGGCTGGAAGATCGTGCGGACGACCCGCAGTTACATGGGATGGCTACCTGCGCGAGTTTGCAGATGAGTACTTTGAGACCGAACGGTGTGAAGTGAGCCTGGCAACTGACTTTCTCAAGCACGAAGAAGACTCCGTGCGTAGAAGAAGAAAAAACCAAAGAAGCATAAACTTTTGGCGCTCCGCGCGGATTTCATCGATCCGCGCTGGCCCCCCCATCCCTGGCGCGCGGAGCGCGCCAGGGGCGGCGCCGCCAGGGGGGGCAGGCGCGGATCCAAGAAATCCGCGCGGAGCGCGAAAAGTTTATGCTTATGTGGTTTTTTCTTCTCGAGTTTTTCACTCGGGCTCCAACAGTGAGCGCAGTCCGACGGCCTGGGGTTGTTCGCCCTCTTCGTAGAGAAAGATTCGAGCCGAAACGCAGCGGGCAGATACATATCACTGACCAGGAGCGCAGTGCAACAGTTACACGGATGGAGAGCAATTCATGTTCAAAGTGGGCCCCGCTGGAACCTTCTGTGAACACTACGATCCTACTCCTTCGCAATGGAATACTTGCGGGGATTATGAGAATGAGGCGTCAAACGGGAGAGCGTGTTCCAGGGTCATCAATGCGTCCTGCCTTCATCTGGCCCTCCTCATCCTGCTCCTCCTCGTCCCTCGTCCCTGTCTCCGCCCCCTCCATTCAAGCTCAACACCTCTCCAGGGGTGCGTGTTGCCCAGAATTCTGGAGGAAATCCACCTGTGGCGACTGAAAGCCCCCCAGAATCCCACAGAGGGCGAAACAGCGCCCAAACATATACATCCTGCCCCACCTCCTCCTCCTTATTCTTCTATACTCCTTAAGACCTCGGAACTCTTCTGGTTCATCAGTATCGGTCTCCCTCGGGTATCGAGTTTAGTCCTTCGTAACTCGAGCCGTCCATGCGACTTCACTCCTCCTCCTCCTCCTCCTCCTCCTCCTCCTCGCTCTCCTTCTCATAGCAGGTTCCTTATGTATGTTCCTCTCTCTCTCTCTCTCGCTCTTTCGTTTTTTGGTTAATTGTTTTTTCTCTATCTTTCTCTCTCTATCTCTCTCTCTCTCTCTGAGTGTGCTTACCATAGTCCTCCCCGTCGACCCGCGTACCCGCGCGGGCGGCACACGACCACGACGACACCGTGGCACCTCGCGGCCCGGCTGCTCCGTCGACCCGTCCCCCAGCATGCGGTCCGCCTGCGCTCGCGACGGGGGGCCCAGCTGCGACGCGGGAGGGAAGCAACAGGCGGAGGCAACGGCAGGAGTGCGGGGCAGGGATCTATCCATATCCACCGCCTGGGGACCGGCGTCCTGTTGCCCCAGCGGGCAGTTGATCTGGATAAAGTTTGGCCCCCAGGGGCCCGAATATGTCCATATCCACCGCCTGCCGATGCCCCTGAAATTGATCCTCCAGGCGGGGGACGTGTGTGCATTCCCGCCTCGGAAGGACAGCGGGGAAAGGAGGGGGCGAGGTGGGGGGAGAAGGATGGAGAGATGAGCAGGAGGTCGAGGAAAGAGGGGGGAGGAGGGAAAGGGTGGAGGAGGGAGGGGGGCTGACGAGGGTCAGATCGGATCGGGCCTGCCATGGCAGGGTCGGATCCGATCGGGTAGAAAGAATCAAACAAGCCAGATCGGACCGCGCTCGCGGAAATGACGTCGGGAAACGGGCGAAACTCCGCGACGGGTGGATACATCAACATCCTGCCGTGACGACGTCGGCTTCGGTTCCTGGCGCCGCGTGTTTCGGCTAGCCCCGGGCGAACTTCTTTCTCGGAAATCCCCACACAAATTGTCTCCTGTAACTCCTGAGGTCACGAAACGGTTCCACGCTGATGCGGGAAAGCGGGGGGGGAGGGGGGCGGGGTGCAGAGGGCAAGCTGTTCCGCTGAGAACTTCTCCAGGACCCCCTTCCCCCTCATCTACCACAACCTTTTCCTACTCTTTCTCCTGCTCCTCCTCACGCCCCTCCTTCCCCTCCCCCCCCCTCCTCCTGCTCATCCCATCTGATCCTCCTCCTCCTCCTCCTCCTTCTCCTCCTCCTTCTCATCCTCCTACTTTCCTTCCCTTCACCTGGTCCACAATCCGCCGACCCCCGCTTGCCGGTGGCAAAAAGGCTTGAGGCATATTTGGCTGTCCCCCTTCTCCTTTCCCCCTCCCCTGGAATCCAAAATGCCGCTCTAAGGCAGGGGTACGAGCTCGCAAACGCCTCTCCCGGGGCCCCAGAACCTCCAAAGAGCCCGAGGATGCAACAAACGCGCCAAAATGGAGCGCCAAAATGGTCCAAGAGAGCGTCGATATGGCCAAGGGTAGACCCTCGACGGTCCAAGACTGTTCGAGACGGCCCACGAGCCCCCCAAGTCGGCCCAAGAATGCTCCCAGAGGACAGCCGAGGGGGCCCCAAGAGGCAAACATCGCCACATAGCATGCTCACCTTTTTCGTCTTGACAGCGTCCAAGACGGCCACATGGGCCCCCAAGACCGTCCCAACAGGGCTAACGAGGCCTCCACAAGAGCCCGAAGACAGCCAAAGAGGGCCCCAAGACAGGCCGCAGGGCTTGGCGGCCACCGCCGAGAGCTGGTCGACGTTGCGGTTTTCGAACTCTGACGCCTTGGCGCCCCAGGTCTCTCGGTGCTCCGCCGATTGTTTCCGAACTTTCTCTGCCGGCATGAGCCAAAACTCCCCACCGTCTCTGGCCGCAAAGCATGAAGAAAGCTTCCGCCGGAGGCTGTGTTGCGGCTGCCGCTGCGGCTGCCGCTGCGGCTGCCGCCGCCGTCACAACTGCAGCGTGGGCGACCGCCGCAATCGCCGTCCCCAATGCGTCGCACGCGCCTGGAACGCCTGCCGGCATGGCAGCGGCGCCCAAAGGCGGGGCAGCCTGAGACGCAGCTGAGGTCGGGCCTGTCCCCCTACAGGGGAATTCTCAAACAATTTGTTTCGAATCCAAAGTGGTCAAGAAGTACTAGAAAAATCGTCCCCATACAATCTGTTAACTATTTTTGAGCATTCCTCCTGTAGAGGGACAGGCCCGATTTCAGACGCAGCTCACGTCTGGCCTCACGTACCCACCGGCCTCCGCGAGATCGCGGAAATTGCTCGCAGAGCCGACCCTCGGCCAAGGCGTTTCAAGGGGCCCCCGTCCACGACGATGCCCTAGATTTAAGTCGGGCGCGTCCCTCTACAGGAGGCATATTCAAAAATAGTCCAAACATAATGGGACGATTTGTTTCACTATTTTTGAGGATCTCTGGCATATTGTTGTTTTTTATGCTTCGCCCAAAAACCTCCTGTAGGGGGACAGGCCCGACGTACCCCTAGATTTGCTGGACTCGGCGCGCCCGAAAATGTCCGAGGCCGAGACGCTCTCGACGACACCCCCGCGGGGCCGTCCACGAACTCGGCCCAGCAAGCGGGCCAGCGGAACAAGGCGGATCAGAGAAGATGCTGCCGCCTCTGGTGCTGCTCTCCCGGCGGCACGAGAAAACGAGACTGAAAACGAAGAGGCCTCCCCCAAGCAGGTTCGTTAACAAAACGAACGACGACCGTGGCGGCCCGAAAGTTAGTACCCAACTTTCATGGATCACATGGGACCTGGCACAACCATAGGAAAACCCACGCGCACTGCCTGCTCGTCCACGCGACGCGCGTCAAGAACAACGACCGCATGTGACACCAGGGGCGGGCGCTGCCACCAGGCCCCAGGAGGGGGGCAACGAGTGCGAACCCACCGGGCCGCATCTACGCCATCGCACACCCTGTGCGCGCGGCCAACTACTGCACCGCGGCAATCGACCACTTTGAACGCAACGAGGAGCCCGAAGCATCACGCTCCATCGCCATCCTCGCACGCGGAATGTAACCCGCACCGATGGGTTCCGGCGACACCGCGGCCCCACTCCATCACGTCGACGGGCCTAGGCATCCAGCCATGCTGGTCCACCCGAGCGTCATCCAACTGCTCATCTCATGGGGCGACGCCTCCGAGTGGCCGTCGCGAGTCCGAAAGATCACGGACGGGCGGTGTGCCTGAGACCACGCGCAGCTCATGCTCGTCGCGGGCGCCCCTGATCCAAACAACATCTACTGCGCCGAAACCATTGGTTTTAGGTCGGGCATGTCCCCATACAGCGGCCCCGCGCGCCACTATCAGCGACGTCAGCGCTGCGCTCGCCCTTCAGGTGGAACGCGCTCGACGCGCGCAGGAACCGCTGGCGCGGGCGGCGCTAGACAGACGCGCGTGACTCTACTACCCAGACGCGGACGGGCGCCTCTACCTCGCGCCGCGCGCTGGGCGCCCGCCAGGCATCGGCTCTTCCGCGCCAGCCATCGACGACGCACTTTTCGGGAAGGGCCTACTCGAACCCCCTGGCACGCACCGGCGGCGAACTCCAAGGCAACTCCTTCTCACTCGACGGTTTAAAACAGCCTGCGCGCGCGCCCTGGCTGAACGGCAGCGCCGGCGCGCTGCGCCCCCGCAGCGCCGCGCCCGCCGGCGACGGCAATTCCGCCGCCACCGCGGCCAGGGAGCTGGAAGTATCGCTCGAGGAAGCTGTCCATTTTGACCGCCTGTCGGTCCACGTATATCCACCCGTGGAAAAACAACAGAATGGGGCCCGCGGGGGGGGCTCCACCGCCGCTCGGCGGCCCTCGCCCTCGGCGGCCAACCCCGCGACGCGCGCCGCCAGGTAAAGCTCGCGGGGGACCGCGTCAACGCTGCGCCAGCGGCGGAAAGAGCAAACCTCAACCGCCCCGCCGCCGCCGATGCCCGAGTTCGCCGCGCCGCTGCCAGACCCCCCGCATCCGCGTGAGAGCTCGCTCCGCAAGGCCCCCAACGGCAAGCGCGCGCGCTGCTGGCGCCGACATTCAAGCGCCCAGCGCGAAAACGCGCCACCTCTACAACGACGCGCTGTTTACCGCCATCCGCCCGAGCGAAGATCATGGATATCGCGGCGGGTTCCGCGCGCCCTCGCTGCTCCAGACATGCCCTGGAACTCGACGCCGTCGCGCAACTCGACGCCGTCGCGCAACGAGCGGCTGGAGGGAGGATGAGGAGGATGAGGAGGATGAGGAGGAGGAGGAGGAGGAGGAGGAGGAGGAGGAGGAGGAGGAGGAGGAGGAGGAGGAGGAGGAGTAGGAGGAGGCGGACGACGAGGACGAGGAGGAAGAGGAGGAAGAGGAAGGGGGCAAGAGGGACTGAACTGCCTGACTGCTGCTCTCCACTAAAAAATGAGAATGGCAACTCCGCGCGCGGCCCCACCAGAGCTCCCGCGCCTTCTGCCGCAAGGCGCTCCGGCACGCCTCTGGGGTGCACGCCCCGGCTTGTCGTTTCCAGCAGTCGCCAGGTAGACGCTGCACGTCAGGCGCGCGCGGCGCTGCAGCTCCCCCGCAACAGCCGCGCTCCAGGCCGGTTCCAGCAGCACGAACCCCGCGAGCCTGGAACGACGGGCGGCGGGGCGGGCCAAGCCGAAGTGCGTCGCGGCGACGGCCGCGCCCCAGCAACACTCCGAGTAATGCTTGATGGAGTCCTCGCCCACCGCGCATCCAAAGACGTATGCTGCGTGGCCTTGGAAGCGGCGCGCGGTGATCCAGCCGTTCCACAAAGGGCGCGGGCACGCCGCGAGAACGCGGGGCGGCACCGCGCGGGGCACGGCCGGATACGTGGCCAGCGCCCTGTCGACCATCTCCTGCGGCGTCATGCCGCACAGCCCGCTGCATCGCTGCGTAAACCTCCAGTGCAGGAAATTGCGGTCCCTCAGCTGCGCTCGGGGCGGTCAGCCCGACGCAAGTGCGCTTCCAGAGCCTTTTCTGCGCGGCGGCGTCGGCCGCCCGGTGGCGGCCGCATTCTGGCGCGACCGGGGACTTTGCTCTTCGAGATTCACCCGGGCCGCATCAAACTGAAACACAAAAATCTGCTCGAACCAAGGGGCCCACAGACCCAGCCGATCGAGTGGCTAATCCGAAAGCAGCTTCTCGTGCCGGAGCCACGCTCCCCGGGCCTCTACGCGCAGCCCGCCTTCGGCTGCCGCTTCCCACTGGCAGACGCGAGCCTTCGCTGCCAGGGCCTCTAAGGGTAACTCTGGAAGGCCCGCTGGGAACCCCATGAGGGGCAGGCCGTGGAGCGCCGAAACCGGGGCCCATCTGCTCCGACCTCAATACAGCGACTGCGGCGAAGCAGCCTCCAGGCGCGGCCACGAAGCCGGCGGCGCGGCCAGCTGCGCGAGGAACGCCAGCGTGGAAAACGCATATGCAAAGTACGCAACGGTCTGGGCGAACATGCCGCCCGCCACCAGAGAGGCCCCAGTCACGAGAGCGCTGGAGGCACTTGCTGGCGGCGGCGTCCCAGCCGCGCTCTCCCCGGGAGGGGCCCAGGAGAAATCCGAGGTACTCTGCGCTGCGCGAGAAACGCAAGCCGCCCCGCGAGGGGGGCCCTGGCCGTGACCGAGGCCCTCGTCGCCTCGGGATCCCCGGGGAAAGCGGTACCCGCGTACTGTCTTGCCCACATTCAAGCGTAGCCCTCTGCGTGGGCGTCGAAAAACAGTTCCAGCACGGCCGCGGCGGGGCCCTGCAGAGTCGCCGACGCAACAGGTCTGCAGCCACTGCGAATAGAAGCGGAGAAAATGGGCGTCCCTGGTGGAGGCCCGCCGTCACTGGGAAGCCGTCAGAAAACCGTCATAGCGAGGAGGCAGCGGTTTTGGTGGTACAGCGAGCGCATATACTGCAGCACCGGGGGCGGCACCCTCGTGGCAGCCAAGGCGTCCAGAAGAAAGTCCTGCCCGACGCTCGCGAATGCAGCAGCGAAATCGAAAAACACCACCGCCCCCGCCTCTGCCGTGAGCGCCGCCGTCTGCATCGCCTCGTCTACACGTCCACGATATTCGCCAGCATCCTTATCACCACTTTTCCCGCTTTTGCTTTGCAGTCGGGGTCCCTTCCGACTGCGCAAATGGGGTTAGGATCTGTCCTACTCCTGCCACGCATGCGGCCCCTCTCGCCACGAGGGGTGGGCGCGGCGAGCGCCAGTGACCCGCGCGCCCACTGCTGCGCTCTTCCCATCCCCCCCCCCCCTTCTCCACCTCGGCACTCCGCCACGTCCTCCTCCTCCTCCTCCTCCTGCTCTTCCTCCTCCTCCTCCACCTCCTCCTCCTCCACCTCCTCCTCCTCCTCCTCCCTCCGCCTCCACCCTACCTGGCCGCGCGGGGTTCCCCAGCGGGGCTGGCGCGCCCGGCGGTGCAGGGGCGATCTGGGCTCGTCGGTGCCAGCGACCGAGGGCCTCGCGACGGAGGTGTAGACCTTCGTCATGCCCTGCGCGCGGGAGGCGAGCGCCCGAGGGGGGTGTTCCTGGGAGCTCCTCCTCCTCGTCCCGTGCGGGGGGGACATGATGAGGCGAGGGAGAGGAGGGAGAGGCAGGGAGGGAGGGAGGGGGAGAAGAGAGAGGGGAGAGAAGGGAGAATGAGGAGGGAGGCAGAGATGGAGGGGAGGGAGGAGGACTTGGAGGACTTGGAGGAGGAGGAGGACTGCCAAGCTGTGTTGGATGTTTGGGCCTGAGTCCCCGAATTCGATCGACCAGAGGTCGCGTAATCGGAGCTCTGGAATGGTTTTTTTTGTCGCTTGTGACCTTGGGCCTGAGAACATTGAATCCAAGAAGATCAAGGCCCTTCTCTCCAATCTATGCCCACCACAGTGCCGCTGGGCACGGACTGGGCGTGTCCTCAGGTCCTGGGCCGAATCCTCTAAGCTCAAGCTTCACTCCTGAGGAATCTTTGAGGGGCCCGGACCCCTCGCTCTCACTCCCGGGGCTTCCCGCGTGCCACCTGGGCTCCAGGAAGTGGTGTCGCACGCATGTTTCGGGCCCAAAGGAACCCCAAGACGAGCCAACTGAAGCAACCGTTTCCTAGACCCCGGGGCCGCTACCCAGGACCCGAGGCTGCAGCGAATCATCTCACGAGGCCGGTTTTCCGGGGCGCCAGAGGCGCAACGTGCATCGAGGAGAACGCCTGGCGGCCAGGGCCGAAATGAGGCTGCGAGTAGCAGACCGGGGGGAACGAAACGGGGGGATAGCAAAGGGCAGGTTAGAGAATCAACTCACGTAGCTGATTTTCCCAGCGCCTCCCGGCGCCGGGAGGCGCCCATGTATCGAGGAATGGGCCCAGCGGCGGGGCCGAAGCCAGCTGCACGCAGCAGAGTTCGCAATCCCCCCCCACCCTTTCCCTATCCCCCCCTTTCGCGCGGCCCGAGCAGACCCCGCCCCGACCCACGGCACGGCTTGGCGGCGCGCGCAAGGGGGTGGGGGGAGGGGGGAGGGCTTCTTAGAAGGAGGTTGCTTCTTACAAGGCGCCGGCCTCACATCTATAGATAAGGCCCGCACCTTCTAAAAAACAGGGGTGTTTCTAAAAAGCCCTCCCCCGTCCCCCCACCCCCTCTGCGCGTGGCTGAACGGGGGCGCAGCGCACCCCACTCGCGGCCGCGCCTGCATCTGCCGCATCACGTGCCGCAGTTCCCGACTCCTGGCCGCGGGGGCGGCCCAGAAACGGCTGGGGTCCCGGCCTTTCGCGCGCGCCCTCCCCGCCCGGGCTCTGGCGGCGGGGGAGCAGGAGGGGAGAAACTGGGGGGAAAGCAGCAGGAGGGGAGGAGTGGAGAAGTCAATGGATTTTTGGATTGGTTCGTCGTTGAAGCATACGGCTTGTCGAGACTGGGCGGCGCTGCAGCTAGCAGAATATGAGTCAGGCTACAAACTTCTGCACGGGCACCACGGAAGCAACGGCACTAGTCCCCCCCCCGAATCCAAAGAACCTCCCACCTTCCACTGGCACAAGCTTAAAATCGTGGTTGGTACTGTGCTGGAAAGCGCAGATAGCGGCGGGGCGGTCCTGCAAGCGGTGATGTGCATCCCCGGAAGCGTCAGCCAACGGGGCTGGTGCACAAGTGCTGTCCATCCCCGCACCCTCGCATCATGCAGCGCCGCGGAAGGACAGAGAAGGCGGGGCGCACTTTTCTCCTTAACGGATTGCCAGCACAGATCACCGCCAAAATGGCGAATTACTGACGAGATCATTTTCCTGCCAGAGAGCAAAGAGGCTAGCAGCAAGGTCGCCCACCCCATATTTAAACTTCCCACCGTCGAGCGACTTAGATTAACAACCTTGGTCAGCACATTACCGCTGGGCAGTGCACACGGAGAGCGGCTATGCAAAACCTGCATGTGAGGACATGCTTCCCCTGACACATCGAAAAATCCAACTGACTGAACAGTCGTGACGCACGAGTTTGCAAGCTATCTTCGCAACCTACCAAGGGAAAGGCGAGGGCAGTTATCTTTGCTTCAGTGAACAGTACTCAGCGCGGCCAGAATGGCGTGATACTGATTGTTTGTTTTAAAGCCTCCTGACAACTGGCAGGGAGGAGCGGAAGGAGCAAAGAAGCAACAATAGCAGCCAAGAAGAAAGCAGCAATAGGATGTCAGATTGACAGCGGCAAGCCGACGGCACCTGGCTGGCCAGCGGGAAGCTGTGCACACATGGGGCCGCACGTGTGGCACGCTACGGGTGTGCCAGTAAGTCCAGCTGACCTCACGTGGACCCCTGACTGCGTGCCCGACTGGGCCGAGCGTGAGAGCCTCTTCTTGTTACTTCGTCGTTGCAAAGAGGGAAGCGTCAACGCAACGGTGGCACCAGTTCGAACTTCTAGCGCATGACAAGGCGGGCAGAGAGGGGCTCTCCCTCGAAGCGGCCACAGACATCAATGCGAGCGCGAGATCTGAAACTGATGAGACACAAATACTGAAACGCACGCTGCGGGAGAAGAGAGGGCGGAGGGAGGCATGCTAGGGTGGAAGGGGAAGAGGGGGGAAAGGGCACCTCGATCCTCAAACGCATTCCACATCACAACTGCATAAACGCACGCACATTTACAACATGAAACTGTTGCGTCTAAGCGTGGGATCATCCCTTGATGGTGCAACCTCTCTGAGGAGCACGCGTCGCAGGTGACAACTCGGCAGGGGTCGGTAGCGCACGGACTGTCGGTGGCTCCACGAGAAAAGCGGCTGCGTCTGCTACAGCCTGCTCCTCATGAGCCTCCTGTGGGCCCACAAGACGTGGCTCCGCCTCTGGGCAATGAAACTATACCTTTCGGCCTGCCCATCACCTGGTGGGGGGGGCTCGGGCGGTAAAAGCCGGCGAGGTTCAGGATCAGCCCTATCATGGCCTCTCCTTGCCATGGCTGAAACAAAGTATGGTGCCCATCCTTCGTCCAAACCTAGGCGCGGGTCCCAGTCAACGTAAAAAAGGAAGTAACTCAGCTCGGAGCTTTTCCTCATCTCCTCGCATGCCAAGGGGGTAGGTAGTGTCGGCTCGCGTCGCATACATATGGTTTTATGCAATCCACTGTAGCATCAACCAAAATCCGACACACACCCTCCGGATACGTCATGTCTTGGCCGTGCGCCATTTGTTCCGTGCCCCATCGAACCCCATGAAGACCTCATGAGCCCCGCGTCCGTGAGAGCACTTCCCACGGCCTGGTGTCTCGAAGAGTCGGTATACGTAGTGCAAGTATACGCGTCGGTGTTCGGGCCTGCTGGCCGTGCTCGCACTGGACAAAGTCGGCGGCAGTTGCTGACGGGGCCGCCATCGCAGCCCGCAGAGGTGCACATGGAAATGAGCCGACTGCTGCTTGGCGCCAACTGGCGGGAGTTGGGTGCTCCATCCAACAGCATGAGCCCGCCTGCACGTGAACTCCAAAGAGCTCAATCATGGCCCCGAGCAACTCGGTTCCGACCCGAAGTTGTTCCTGCTGCCTGGGGGTCACAGCCAGCAGTCCCCGATAGTCGCCGTGGGACCTCAGGGGATGGGGGCCCCTTATCCGGGGCCCAACGGATAGCTGGCCAGGTTTCGCATGGTGGCCCTCCACCTGATAAGACAACTCTTTTGGCAAGTATATGTTATTTTTCATATCTCAAGGGCGTGCAATCATCTCGCCTAACACTGTGCCAACCGCAATATCGATCGACAAGTCAATGGCTGCAACATCCACTGCATAATGTGTCCACTCTAATCATGCCTGGATGTCGCCAGGCCTTCTACGTCCACTCGGATGGAGCTAGGTAGCGCCTGTGCCGACATACCTGCGTACTGGCTCGTAAGGAACACTCGTGCAGGATAGCGCTCCACCTGTGGTGGCGGCCATGGAGGAATGTTCTCTTGGTCGTCGTGCGCTGGTTCGTCCTGCGCTGGTGGTGGTAGTAGTATTGGCAACGCTTCGGCGGTGAGGTATGGGCCGCGCTGAACAAGTAGTACTGCCCTTGCCTCTTATTGTGTCATTTTCCAGGCACTCCGTAGCGATCTTGGTGAACGGGCCAGCTGCTTTGCGCGTGGGTACGACTACATGCCTTCTTGGCACACACGCCTTGCTTGCTGTTGCTGCTGACGTGTGCATTGTGGGCTGTGGGTCGAGGTGGCGGGGTGGATTGTCGCGCGATTGAATGGCTGCCACAACGAAGCGCGGGAAGTCTTATGGCTAGATGGTCGACTAGGCGGGCGCGCGCGTGGAGTGTGGATGAGCATGTAGTACAGCAGCCAGTCGCCGAGGCATATCCTTTGGCCAGGATATTGAGCTGGTGGCGGGTGCGACCGAGATGCGCGCGCAGAGCACGCATTCCTAAGGAAACTACTCCACGCAAAGGGCAGTACATCTGAAGACTGGGCGGCGGGGCAGGCGGGGTAATAAGCCGCGTTCGTCCGCGTAGATTCGGCGCGGTACCCCTGCCCCCGCGGCTGCATCAAAGAAACTCGTTTCCATGTGCGCGGCCAAGATGGCACGAGGGTGATGCTTGGCTGCAGCTCGGAGCCCTACGCGGATACTGTGCTTCCATGTGGTGGCACCGTGTAGGATGTACTGTTCCCAAGCTGCAAGGTCGTCCGTCGGGGCCGGTAGGCTAGCGCACGGTAGCGGCGCTCCGTGCAACCACGTCATGTCCTCAATAAGCTGTCCGAGTGTGGTGCGCTCCTGCATGCGCTGTCGACCTGTCGAATCGTGCCATTCTGCCGCCATGGGTGCAAGCGCAAGTGTCGGACCGGCGTGCAGTAGTGACCCAAATAACCGCAAGCGTGCTGCACGCAATAACATAACGGGCGTAGGTCTGCGCAGCCGTGCAAGCACTAGCGCGTCAGACACCTGGGACTGCGCTTCCTGAAAAAGCACGAGTGCTGCTGCTCTGTGCACTTTCATGACTTCACCGTGTAGAAGCTTGGCTTTAGCTGCAGCGAGTCGTGTCCACGAGCCTGCATTGCACATTCTCCCTGAGTGCTAGGCTGTCTGCGAATGTCGTGCGCACCTGTGGGTGTAATGCATTCGTCTTGAATTTGAAGCGACGCAACAATGGATGTGGCACGGTACTTGATCTCCGGAATGAGCGAACCACTGGCCTCAATGACCGAACCGAGGTGTACATAGCGATGCAAAAGGGGCGCGGAGCTCGCCAAGCATGCCTGTCGTGCACTGCATGCGCCCACCATGCTCGCGCCACGCAGCGCGTCGCGCGCGCTTCCTGCCGCGCCCTTTCCACGTGATTAACGCCGCTGTCTTCGCTGTGCCAACGTTTAGCTTGCGCCCCCGCGTCGCAAAGGCATCCGTCACCAATCCCAATGCTAACGACAATGCTGGATATTTTTGCAACGCAGGTACCATGAAAATCATTGCGCCGTCATCTGCGTACGACGCGTCCACAAGGCTGGCAACAGTGTCGGGCTGCTGTCGTCTGTCTAATGAGGGCGCGACTCTGCGACTGTTGGCCGTTGGGAATTCCACAGGAAGGCCTTCGCCCTTCAATCGCTCACGGATCTCAGCCATGCATTCGGCCATTTGCATCTCGAAGAGAACGTCTGCAAGGGGCTGGCCTGGAAAAAATGACCGCTGGCGCAGAGGAACCTGGTCGGAACCTTCGCGCACAAACCACGGCGCCTGATAGCATTGCCCCACCTGTGCCAAGGCATGGGGATCGACCTGGATGTCGCGCTGTCGCGGCCGCGGCGTGCACTCGCGCAACCTACGCTCCAACTCCGTCATCGCACTGGGTGGGGGCCCCGAGGCCCGAACCAAAGCTGCGATGGATTCGTCATCCATGTCGGTGCCCCGACGGGCTTGAATAGCGAGCTCGCGGATGGCTCTCAGAAGGCTTGTACAACGTCCAAAAACATCGCACCAAAGGATAACTGTCGGGCCCTGGCAATTGACTGAGCAACTCTTACCAACAGGGACGCGCGTGTAGCACCCCGTCCTGGCAGCCCCCCAAATTGCGCTCCCCCAGCATCAACCTAAAACTGTGGCAAAAAGCTTTCCTGAAGCATCATCTCGTGGCTTGGCCTATTTGGGATGACACCAATATTGACCGTGAACTGGAGCACTTGGTTGGGTCGGGTTGACCAAACTTGGTCAACGCTCGATACAAAAACGTTCTCTCCACTGCGCAGGCTCCACCAGGGGCAAGGAAAACTTCAGCTGTAGCGGG